CTCTGCACCATCATAGTATGTCAGCATTGAAAACGATTTCATATAAGTGCCATTATGTCTGTTTATGCAGATTGACTTCAAATGAGTAACTTCTTTATATAGATGATGGGTCTGATAAGGTTATTACAAGGAAGTCATGTTTCTATCGAAAGATCGTATTGTGGTTAAAGGATTAATCTTTTATGCACTTATCAGGAAAAATTTCGAGAGAACCCGATAAGCGAACCAGAAGCATGTTCGGTCTTGAGTCATTGCTACTGAAAATTTTATTCAAGATAGTTTTTTTTTATGAGGTCTCTTCATTCGAAACGTGTGTTATTAAAATTTCGAGTATAATTCAAAAAGATTGTCACCTATTCTATCAAACGATGCCACTTTTTCTTTGTAAACAATCTTGCATTTTCAACTGTGCACTTCGACATGTGCTGTTTTAGAAAGTTTTATAGAAACAATCATTGCAAAGTAAGGAAACAAATTCTCAAAGTGCAAGTCATTCCAGAGTCGTGTGGATTTGCATCTTCAAGGCAAATATAGTCTTGAACAAAAGTTTCAGCCAATTGGCTGAGTTGTCGATGCAAAAAAAAATATTGAAGAATTTTCCAGACATTTTTGATCCCTGAGCACAATAATACTTACTCAAGTCACAAACAGTTTTCATTTTATGCAATCTCACCGAGTTCATCGGTTGATACCTTATCAGTATAGTTTTCAGTAGTAGTTTTAACTTTTCAATGCGAAAGATTTTAACATTGAGAAAAGTCTTTCAGAATTTTCAGTCACTATGATGGATGAATAAATAGCTTATATTAGACAGTCACTGACGTTCTTTGTACTGATTTACATTTCTGTTATAACAGCCGGTAATATTCCAAGATTAGAATGAAAACCTTACTGCCATTGTTCTTTTGAAAGATTGCTGAGTGAAAATAATCAGAGATATCAACTTGAGGAGCAGTATTTAATAATAAGTATTTTTCTTCATGTAGGTACAGAAGGTAGTCACAGATATGAGCAAACTAAAGTGCTACATTCAGCTGCAACTCACGTTGGTCTCAAATATACAGCAACTAAACAAAGTACAACAATCATCTACTAAACAGCGTTCTAACAATGACTATAACATTCCGAGACCCGATAATGAAAGCCATTCTTTTCCAAAAGCATCTACGGTAGGTACGACACAGTCCAGTCAATCGTTACCGCAAGATTTGTTCGGGCGCTGGCAAGAAGATCATGAGCTAGGATTTTATCAAACGCAAGTGCAGGAACAAGAAATGGCATTTCTCAATTTCCGCGCTACTCAAAATCATAAACCAAGAATAGAATTACGAACATTCGTCGAACTTGTCGTTCGGCTTCCTGAATCTTGCAATCCAGAAGATCGAAAATCATTATGCGATTCATTGAAAGATCAGTACAGTTCAAATTCTGCTGCGCTCTCAAAGATTGAGACATTTGAGAAGGAGTATCAATCATCTGAAGCCATCTTTTGGTATACGTATGATAGCTATCTGTATAAGGAATTGAATTCTGTTCTGCGACACTTCAACTATAGTTCTCTAGTCGATTTTGCCTTTTTTATTCGTGACATATACCATATACTTTCTTCCGAACAGAAGAAACAGTCGTTATCTAGCAATGGGTATCGAAACGTTTTTCGAGGACAGATGATGTCAAAAAAAGAATTAGATTTACTGGAAAGTATAGCCAGTCGGAATCAAGACCAAACGAATAATATGTTTATGTCTCTCTTTTCAAGTGCTCAAGCGGCTCGACAAGAGGAACCGCTGGTAGTGACCTCGTTTTTGTCTACGACCAAACGACGTGAAATAGCAGAAATGTATTTGTCAAACGAGCAACGTCGAAATGCAGATATGCAAGCAGTTCTCATTCATATTGATATAGGTGATAGGCCTGCTACAACGTGCGCATCCATCGCTCATCTAAGCTCGTTTGGACTTGCTGAGGATGAGGTTATCTTCATGATTGGAAGCGTCTTTTGGCTACGCAGTGTGGTACGACACAGACACTATTGGATTGTCGAACTCGCAGCATGTCAAATATATGAACAAACGAAAAACGTTCACAGACTAAATTCAACCGCGAATGACTATAGAGTGCAATTATTAATACAAAATCTGAGTGAAGCCAAAGATCTGGCACAAGTATTGGACATCTTATTCAATAACTTAACGAACGACATCATTAATGCTGAAGACTTATTTGCAATTTGCAAGCCTAAGTTGCCTGATATGAATACAGTAACTTGGATTGATTTAGGCATACTTTTTTTCTCAAGTGCACGATACGATATTGCAGAGAAGATATTTAAACTATCTGTGGCTGCTACTTTTGAAAACGACAGCGATGAAAAGCAAGCACAATGCTACGAATATCTCGCAAATCTCGCATTACTTCGAGGTGACACAGAAGAATATAAACTATATTCAACACACAAAATTTGCCTTGATTTGAAAGCCGTAGCACACGCACTAGGCTTGCCATTCAATGAATCCGTTTTTCTCCGAGATCATAATGTGGCTAAACCAAATCTCAACGAGTACGAAAAGTTTATAAAGACGTACAATAGTCCGGAATATAGTTGGATATCGCGTTCAGATTTTTCGACCACTTTTCAACAACTTATAAAAAAATACATGTGAATGTTATTCATCTTTTTTAATAAGAGAAAACGAAAAGGGTGGGACTATGGGTATGGGGTGTGGGTATGGTTGGGTGCGAATGTGAGTGAGGTATGGGTGTCAGGTGTGAGTATTGATGTGGGTATCTTGTATACTACAAACCAAGATCCACATCCACACCTGGACCCTCAAGTACGAATACTTCGAGTATTTTGCCCAGCTCTGATATCTACATCATCTTTTGCTTTTATTTTCTGATTTTTTTATCAAAATTACAACACTATGAGATGAATAAAACTACATAATTACAAAATAGAAAATAGAAAATGGTCCTTTATCATCAATATTTCGCAATTTTCGATGAACACCATTCATCATAGTCTGGACGACTTCCAAATCAAGGGTGTGGGTGTGGGCTAGTCTTAAGATCAGTTCTTACACTCACCCTCAACTATTGTTTGCTATTTAGAAATTGAATCAACAATTATTCGTGATCTTAAAGCAATTATCAATATTATAAAAGGCGAAACAATCTAATTAACTATTGAAATAATTGATAATCCAAAACCAACAATTCAATCCTTTTGTGATGCAGACAAAACTTGCAGGTACTGAGGATGCAATTAAAATGAAAGAATCTGAAGATGATCAAATATTTGCAACTATTGTGCTTTGATATTGAATCAAATTAACAAGGTGATTATACAGCAACGGTTAAAAATGTCTTTCATATTTCTTTTTGTTCACCAATAAAAAAATAATTCTTGTCAAATTTAGGAACTCCAACATTTATACGTGTACCTTCAGGTTCTAATCTTTCAGTTAAATTTGAAGCAATGCTTGAATATGAAATTGATGCACATCCAAATGCTAAAGTATAATTAAAATACTAAAAATGATGTTAAAATTCCAGCACAAACTGAGAAAGGTCTTTAAATCCTTCGTATTTCTCAATTTAATACAATAAAACATATGAGTACAATACGATGTCGGACAAAAAATACACTATTGGTACTATTAAACATTCAGTTCAATTAAATATTACAACAGCTTTAATATTAAAGATACTATTAAAAGGTCTTGCAATTTTACAAGAACACGATGTAATATCAAGATTATCCAATACCAGAAATAAAATGAATACATGGAAATAAAAATTTATTAAATTAAGTGATAAATACCCTTGATTCAGATAATCAACATCGTCAATTAATAATTTGTAATGTTCAAATTGAAAATGAAAATGAATATTATGTTCAAATACATAATGATTTTGGTGAAGTTACAAGTTTAAAAACTTTCATGTTTAACTATGATATTACACTATCTAACTTCATTTTTTCTAAAATTCAGTCTTCATTTCAAATTCCATCAATCACCATTGATGATATAATATTACAATGTGATGATGAATTTGAATATCAATTTGAAATAGAAGATCGTTCACAAGTAGATATAACATGGTTAAGAGTGGGTTGTTGTAGGATGTGACTGTCCTCTGTAGTCAAGATCCACCACACGCTTTAGACCAAATCGATACAGACGTAGAAAAAGAAATGAGAATTGTTGAAATACTTTTTTCTTTATTGATTCAGACTAGAAATTTTTTTTGACTGTACAGATCATATAATTGCTAATATTGTTTTACAATTGTTATCCGTGCAAAAATCTATCAATTGTCACCCATTGCATTTTTTCTTTAAATGTATTGAAAGATTTCAGACATATTGAATTACTTTATTTAAACTCACAACTTAATATGTTGATGCATATTTATTTGCGGAAATTCGATGACTAGCATTATTCATTTCTTTTCTCAATATACTTACATATTCAATGAAATATTTCTTTTACACATCAATATCATCACAAATCCATATTTTTTATCAATTATTGTGTCGCAAGTGAAAACAAAAGAAATAAAGATAAATAATTAAGAAACCTAATACTACTCGTGTTATCCTTTAGAGAGAAAAAAAATGTTTCATTTTCAATATTTCGATCATACAAGTCAATCTTCATTTGTTTATACCATGGAAAATAATACTATAGAAAATGTGAGAATCCATAAAAAAATATTTACTTTACATTTCATGAGCCCATATGTTGCAATCAGAATTTCGAATTGTATAAGTAAAACTAACTAAGAAACATACCCAACTGTTGAACATCGTTCGACTTCATATTATGACTAAATAATAAAATTTTTCTTAAAAGTAAGCTACTTTTGCAAGATTCAAAACAAAGATTTTCGACCTGAAATTTTGATTATAGGCACATTTGATAGTCATTCGATAGTTTTAAAAGTTTCAACAAAAATGAATATGTCTTTCGGAAAATATTCAATATACAAAAGAGCAGTGATTTATTATAGGAAGACTCAATAATCGAGTCTAGTTGCAAATTGAATGTATCGAGAAAGACATGTTCGTTTTTGTTGCAACTTTCAGAACTATCTAATGACTATCAAATCTGAGTATTGGCGAAATTTCGGGTTGAAACTCATTGTTTTTAGTTAGCTTGTCTAAGTCTCTCTGAGTCGTACTCATTATCATAATATGAAATCAAACAACGTCCAATAGCTGGATTTGTTCCATTATAAGTACAGAAAAATGGTACCCTCATATATCGAAAAGGATAAATACCAGAAGCAATCATCAGCAATATAAGTATAGCATGATCTGTTCTCTTGTGAACAACGGCGTCGAATGCGCAAGAATTTTCTACTAAGTATGTAATAATAATATATTTTGTTCTTCACTAAGATCGATATCATGATGTACGGTAATCTTTCATTGTCATCTTTTTAGATTATTATTGATTGCTTTCATGTCTATGCAAGCAATCATTATTAAAAGTAAAATAAGAAGCAAAAAGTATTAAAAAAAGTTGAACATCGGATATGAAAAATCAAATCGAAACACTCTTGTTCATTGTATGTATAAAAACTTTTGTATTACTCTATATATTGAAATAAATTTTAACATTACAGAGATGTCATTTGTTTGTTTGTATTTCACAAAGTATGATTATAGAATGAATCCTACTTTGAATAGGCGCTACTATTATGTTATCATTACCACCACAATGAAAACCAATCGTTTTCATATGTAGTTGCAAAAGAGAATGCTCTGTTGTTAAATCTATATTATTGATTATCCATTCTTGAAGATTTCTAGTTGCTTCATCTGACATTGAACCACCGATATGTAGTAAAAAAAGTTCTTTCTTATTCCAAAACGTAAGTGCTGCCAATATAATCGAATCAATGAACATTTTTCATTTTTTCCATATTTAAAATAAATTCAATAAGATAGTTGAACATATGTGCGATATGTTGTAATTGCTCCGAATCAATATATTCTTCTCTATAAATTTTGAGACGAACGATTCAGTTTCGTTATAAATTGCATGTGGCTCATCATCAGATAAACTTTTGATACAATCATACTCAAGAACTAAGAATTCGAGGTTGGATACTACCTGAAGTAAATGAAACAGTTGACATATACCATGTACTTCGAGTTTCGTAAGCCGAGATAGTCGAAAACAAATAGATTGAGTCGATGATATCGCTTTACATATAAAGAAAACAGATAAATTAAATCCTTTTACTTGAAAAATAATATTAAAATTTCATTTCGATCACATTTATAATATTTATGTAGACTATGATAATTTAATTCAGAAATAAGACAAACAAATCAATACATTTTCACAGACCATTATTCTATCTCTCGTATTAGATGTCAAAATAGAATGGAAATACAATTAGAAAATATTTTCATACAATTGACCTTTTATTTGAATAAGAGTCATAGTAAATAAATGTACTCATTTCAGGGTTGCCAGATAAAAAAATTTAGAAATCGGATTTTCTCATAGAAAAATTCGGAAAATTCAGAGGAATTTGGAAATATTTTAATCAATTCGGAAAAAAATCTGAAGTCAGTTTTTTAACATTTATGGTAATAAACTGACCGTATTTGTGTTAAAAGAATATTGACCACATCACTCATAATTTATTTTTATACAATTTATTTATAGAGAAAAAAGCTGAAATGTTATTTCACTATTAAAACCAATTGCTTTCTAGAAAATATAGGCTTTCGAGAAAAAAAACAATATAAATTTTATATACTGTCCCATAAATCACTTGGCAATAAAAAATTTAAGTATCTCCCATCAATTGCCTACCAGACAAGCTGAACTTTTGACCAGCACTAGGGACTTAAATTTCTTTTTCATAAGAGAACCATCAACAAATACTGTTTCTAGGTAACAAGATCAACATCAAGAATGATGTTTCGCTTGCTACGAGTTTAAAAAAATGTTTCAGGATTATTCCAGAGTATTTTTTGTAAACTTTTCCCCATCTATTTGTAATCTCTTACACAAAAGTAATAAGATCCCATTATAACTGAAGTGTTTACATTCTTAGATTTTTAGATTCAAAATAAAACTAGAGTGTGTGTGGATAGGTGTGGATTTTGGTCTTCTCACTCATATATCCGCACCTACACCGCCACTCACCCACATCCATCCTCGTTTCGAACTTATTATTTGTTGCTATGGCTTTTAACAGATCTTGTTGAGATATTATAGATTTATAAAAATTATTGCGTGGAATATTTGAATTTTTTCGGATTTTCAACTCCGCCGCAACTAATTGAATATCCATACGATTGCGATAATTGGTCCATAAATGATTCATTTGACTAAATATAGATTTAACATGTGGATTACTATATGGAATAGAGAAAAAACGTAACATATAATTGTTTGAATATTCGATGTTGCATCTTTAAGATTTATTAAATATGACCATAACTGATCAGAATGAATGTTTTTGTCTGTGTCTTTATTGTCATGTAATAAAAAATCTTCATTATCACTGTCATCACATAAACGACTTTCTTCGTTGTATGCTGTTGATTATGCATTATCAGCATTTTTATTTGAAATACATGATTTCATTATTTATTCCATATCACATTTTTATTTTCAAATTATTGTACATAAATTTTAGCTCATAATATTCATTATATAGAGCTCATCTTTATTTGAATCATCAATCTTGATCAGATCAAGAACGTTCATAACATATTCCCATATGAGAAATCAAGCAGAATGGTAATCAAAAACCAATAATTTTTCATGGAAATTGCGATCTTTATCAAAATATGAATTACTATATTCAATAGTAACTTTGATGAATGATTCAAATGATTGTTGTAATTCTTCAGCTTTATTCTTATCAGAATCTTTAAATAGTTGAGTATCGTATGTGCTTTATTGCCAAAATAATGATCATCCAGTTGTTGTTCAAATTTTTTTAATTAAATTAGAAATAATTAAATACAGGTCAACAGCTGTTATATGTTCATCTCAGTAAATTGCGAAGTAAAAAGTGGAATTCGGAACGCCGTCGGAAAAAAAAGTCAAAATTCGGAATTTTTCCTGTCATTTCGGAAGATCTGGTAACCCTGAGTTGAGTATCAGCATTACATTTGTATTGATCTACCACTGCTTAATTATTTCGAGCAACAGTATAATTATATCATTAATTTAGGGTGTGTGGGTGTAGGTATGGTGTGGGGTATGTATGTAGGTGTGAAGAGTAAAACAAGATCAACACCCACACACCCAAGTTTTCCTATATAGTTTATTGCTGCCCATAAAAAAACTGAGCTTATGCCGCTCATACTGACAGTGGTATTCATATTGTGTTATCACTTATTTGATATTTTAAGAATTCGTCTTTCGTAAAAATCTTGTTTGATCTAGCAATGTTCACATTAGTGAATTTTTTACTAGGAAGACTAACGTTTATGATATCAACGTGAATTTGTTTTAAGGAACTATTTTTTCAATGAACTTTTCAATAATAACAGTCACGGTTTATCGTTTGAATTTTATGCTAATTCGATTATTATAGCTTCATAGCTGATCGAACCCATATTTTTTATTTCAAGCGAGATCGGTCCATCTAGCCAAGTCACATATCCGATTTCTCCAGTACTAGATGAAAACGGAAAATTCTGATCGGGTTTTTTGTTAGTAATTTCCAAATGAGTATTTGCTAATGAAATAAAAACACCACAGAAATCAAGTAGATGCTCGCCAGTTGTCTCATTGGGAGCTAGTTTAAGTCGGTATACACGGCATCCAGGAATATTAATACTTGAAATATGTTTATATTTATTATGCTGTAAAACAATATCAGAAGAAAATGTTTTGTTTTGCAAGATTTCTGAACCAACAAACCAAGCATCAGAAGGGCTGTCATTTAAACATTCGACACGATGTATCATAGGTTTTAGGCGGTACTCTGCAGCGAAACAATCTCCAGTTGTATACTCTTGTGGTAAAATGTTCGAGCCCGGTAGCTGAGTTCTGCAGAGCGCGCCGGCAATGACAACATTAACAGTATTTTCTTTGTGTCGATGAAACATTGTAGTAGTGTTTCGTACCAACTTGACCATATAAACATTGACATATGAATTTCTAATGATTGATACGTGAGAAGGCTCCTCTAGCACTTCAACAAAATCAACTTCGACTGATGGACAATTTATTGTGCTTAGAATCATATGTATTATTATCCACAATCTAAATAGAAAAATAGCAGATAGAAGTCAGTTTCTTTTCATTTATGTAGAAATATATAAAGCAATGATATCCAAGAAATTAAAAAATGGAAATTTTTCATGATGATCACGAATTTCCTATCAACAACAAGGAAAGGATGTCATTTCGGATGATGTAAAGGAGAATTATTTTGATCTATTTCAAATTCGTCGATTAATAGGAATATTTTAAAACGAAGTGCATGCAATGAATTCCAAAAAAAAATTAAGATTTGTATCCATTTCATCATTTTAACGTAATTTCTTTGATTTCTAAGTCCCTGTGTTGTCTCTTATTATCTCCTATAGTACTAAAATCTGTAAATAATTCAAATAAAGTCATCATATTTTAGTATAGCTTTCTATAAGTTCGCACTTGATCATGAAACCTTTCGAATAGCATATCAAAATCATCTAATTTTACAAACATCATAAGTTTGATGTGAATTAACGAATAGATTCTAGTGGTAATAGTCAGAGAAGTGCTGCATAAAATAAGTACACGTTATGCATCACCTACATACCGTAAAATGATCATTGTCTTTTCTATTTCAGTCAAAAAAGTTATTAAACAATACTGCGTGTGTGAAGACGAATACGTGACTATTTTATAATCGATGCACAAATCAAAAGCAAAAAAACAACTTCAGAAAAAGTACTTAATCTTTTACGAACAAGAATAAAAATATTGACACAGATTATTACTTCGGTCGCCTACTTAATGTAGATAAAGAAATCTCAACCCTTTATTGCATGGAGTAAAAGAATTATGTTTGAAGTGGTCAACTTTAAAAAACACAAAAAGTTGTGTATGGATGATGGAACCTACTCGGATTTAAATTAACATATACGATTCATATCATTCGAATAGAAATTCATTTAATAGTTCTTATCTTACTGTATTAGAAATTAGAGGCTAATTTATCATAAAGGTCGTCGAAAGATTTGTGTTATTGTGTTTATATTTTTGTTCTTAATTATTGACCAAAAAGAAAAGAATAAACGATTGAAATTGCAATTTCAAGAGAAAATTCTAGCATTATTCTCGTAACGTATCCGAGAAATCTTTTATTACACACTTTCAAAATTTTTAGGGTGTGGGTGTGGGTGCGTGTGAGTGTAGTTGAGGGTGTGGATGTGGGTGAGTGGGCGTGAGTGTGAGTGTGGGTGTGGGTGTGCTCTGAAAGAAAAAAACGAGTTTCACAGAACTATTTTGTGGTTCTGTAGCAAGTGCAAAACTATTTTTGGATTCTGCAGCACGCGCAGAACTATCCGAGGGTTCTGTATGACAGTAGTGAAACCCTAAAAGATTCTTCTAGGTAAAGCGAGACCATGGAAAGTTCTGCACAATAATAGTGAAACTCTGAAAGGTTCTGCATATCAACAGCAAAACCATGAGAGATTCTGCACATCAATAGTAAAATCCTCAAAGGTTCTTCCCAGTAATGCTGAACCAAAAAGGCTCTGTCCAATGACACTGAACTAGAAAAGGGTTTTGCCCAATAACGCTGAACCAAAAAAGGTTCTATCCTCAATATTGCTGAACCAAGCAGAGCATATGCCAATTCTGTAGGACTCTTCAAGGTATTGTAGTCAAATGACTGAATCATCAAGAGTTCAGCCAGACAAAAAAAGGTTCAACATGAACCCTATTAGGAAAACATTTGTTGAAAAAGTTCAGTACGAAACTGTTTTATAAGTACCAAAACTTTTTTTTTAATGCTTTACTTCATATTCAAAAGTACTACCACATTTAGTAATTTTGTTTCCTTCGCCAATTACATGCTGTCATTCTTACATCAGATTTGATTGTATTTCTTTGTAACTAAAACAGGAACAGTTTGTTGTTTGTTAAGTCCCAATATATATAAATCTTCCAAGTCAAAGCCTCATTCTACGTTTCTAGACAACTTCCGATGTTTACCGATGGCTGATAATTGAATAAAACTTTGAAAGGTTTAACGTTACATTCGTGAACTTTTATTTCTTCTACCCATGGAGTAAATTTCTGCGAAAAAAACGCGTTTTTCCATTGTTGCGAAACGCGTTAAATCGGTCAGCATTAACGCGTTACCAAGAAAATTCTTGAATTTGTTGTCGATACAAGATGATCACAAATGGAAGGGCAGCTACCGATCGATTTTGAATTAAGATAGTTTGAAAATCTGGTAGTGTTCTGCTCAAAGAGTGCCAAAAAAAGATTTCAAAATCTACTAAAAGAGAGTTATGCTACCTTATCTCGAATCTACCACGGTTGGGTCAGTATTGATACCAACGATATTGCAAGTTTGAAAATTAATAAAAAAAATAAAGACTTTGATCGACCTTCTTTTCATTATCACGTCTGCAGATATACCTTTGTCTGACTGGCTGTCTTCGTCATTCATCATATATAAATTGTCTGAATTATATTTAAGGATATGCTAGGCTTGTTAAACTAAGAGCTAGAAGCGAAAGAATTTTTGTCGTCGAACCAGTCAATTGTGACAGATGACAACTGACCTTAGTTTTTCTATATATTGATATCGTCAAACACAAAAAATCCAATCGTTAAGATAGAGCTAAAAATGATGAATTTCGCATTTATATTATTAACTGGTACTCTGCACAATAGAGCTTTCTCAAGGGTATTGACAATCGCATCACGTCCGCTTTCTGTCATACAACACTGTAATAAAAATCTGCAGAATAATAAATGTTTAAAGGATTTATGGAAGTGCAGTGTATAAGAAACCGTTTTCTACCATTTATGAAAGGCTTATAAACCCTTCTAGAAAGGATATGTGTGTCGTGTATAAGTGCGGGTATGAAGGTAATTTTTTTCTCAACTCATACCCACACCTACACCCTAACTTAAAGTAGTGCAAAGCACGCATGAAGTACTTTAAAGTAGCGTAAAGTAATTTCAAGCACAAAATGTAACGCTCAAGGTTAAACGTGTCTACTATTTCGTCCTTATCGTGCGTTTTATCCTTACTTTACACTTTGTCTTGTTATACGCTTTATCCCTATCCGTTTTTTTATTATATTTTACACTGTTATATTTTTATGTTTGCCTAGTTTTGATGCTTGCATATATAAAGCTTAGACACATGTGTATGTGAGAGTGGCTGATGATATGAAGAATCGAATAAAGTATAACTCTATCTGCGCTATCCTTTTCTTCTATCAAAAATCATTATACAAAACTCTAGAGTTTCTCCCTAGATTTTATATATGGAAGTAAATAATGTCAGATCTGCAAAGAGCGACCATTCGTCTAAGGCTATTGGGAAGTCCGAAAAGCAGAAGGTGGCCGAATAGATTGATTTTTTGCTCTGTATTTTAGCATCATATGGCACATACTGTTGTCATTTTTTGTGTTCTTATCATTTCTAACGGTTATACCTTTTTTTTTTATCTTTACTTGCTGTGATCTATATAATAAGCATACAACGTTGACGTATTTACTAATCCATTTTTTCTTGTAGTTGACAGTGTTGCAAGTATGTCCGAAGAATTGATTCTGTATCACTATCCACAATCACCATTCTCCGAGAAAGTACGAATGGTAATGGGTTTGAAGAAGTTAAATTGGCGATCCGTGATCGTTGATCGGATACCTCCACGACCTCACCTCCAGGCTCTAACCGGTGGTTATCGACGTATACCAGTACTTCAGGTGGGTGCTGATATGTACTGTGATACTCATCTCATTTTTCGAACACTCGATCGTCTCCGACCCCACTCACCAGCACTCTTCTCAAACAGAATAACACAGCCTCTGTGTTGGTGGTGGGATAAGGCAATGTTTACACCATTGTTCCAACTGCGAGTCGGTCTTTCTGGTGACAAACTATCCAAGGACTGGCTTGAAGATCGACAAAAATTTGCTCCTCAAATCAGTTTTAAAAAGGAAGATAGCGAGAAAGATATATCATTGAGTGCACAACATTTCAACGCACATCTTGTGTGGCTCATCAATATGTTGGATGATGGTCGTGAGTTTCTACTCGGGGATTCATCACCATCTGCACTCGACATTACTGTCTATCATATAATCTGGGTGATAAAAAACAATATGGAAAATGAAACGAAAGATCTCTTACCAAGATTGTCTCAACCTAGATTAGTTTCATGGTTTGAACGTATTGCTGCATTAGGTCATGGTACAAGCAAAGAGATGACTTCTGAAGAGGCATTTGATGTAGCCAAACAAGCCGAACCAATCGAACCAAAGTACATAGAAAACAAAACGAAACCTGAATGGCATGTAGGGCAACGGCTACAAGTTACACCCGATGATATGGGTCGCATACCAGTCGAAGGAATATTCGTTGCAGCAGATGATTATGAAATCGTACTTCGTCTAACAGATGAAAAGGCAGGCAACATTAATGTTCATTTTCCTCGTGCTGGATTCGATGTCATTCCAGTCTAATAGAAATCTGAGAAACTTACTTATTTCCCTATTATTAACGATGAAATTTTTAAAAGAAAAAGTTACGAAAAAGTGACAGGAAGAACATCATCATGATATTGGAGTGTGGGTGTGGGATGTAGGTAGATGTGGCTTGGTTAGAGAAACGAACCGTTTACACATACATCGCACACCCACATCTATCCGGATCCATATCTATCAAAGAAACAAGCAAGACTCAAAAAAGATAGAAGCATAGTTCATAAAATTTTGATATTCAGACTCCTAGAAGAGAAAGCAAAAAGAAATAGCAAGAAGATATGCGATTGCTTCATTGATTTACAAAAAGCATTCGACATGGTTAGGCATAGGATCACGTGTTCCGTTCTAACCTCTTATGGAGCTGAAAACAAGCTGATCATAGTGTTAAAGCAGATTTATGAAAAAACACCGTCACCAGTGCGAGTAGGTATGAAGATAGCTGAATGGTTTCAGACTAGCATCGGAACTAGACAAGGTGACCCTCTGTCATCACTTTGGTTCATCGCCTATCTAGAAAGAGTAATGGACGCGGCAATACAGGAAAATAGTTGAGTCAATGTCAGTGGAACATAGATAAAAAAAATTGGCCGAGAAAGCACAGTACTGATAATGAACATAACTAAAACAAAACGATGGCATTCGATAATAAACACATCGATAAAGTGCATATAGCAAACATAACCATCGAAAATGTTGAGAAGTCTGAGTATCTGGAAAGTATGTTGACTTGGGGCAACAACTGCTCAGAAGAAATCCAACGGAGAATTAACAAAGTGTCCAGAGCAATGTCCAGTCAGAAAAAAAGCTTGATCGAATATTGAATCAAACTAGTTGACAAGTTAGAAACTATGCTTTAATATGTTTCCGATTAGCAAACAGGATTATGCAATTGTCCACATTTCTCACTGTGTATTGCTCGTCGTTATTACTCACTATTATTATGTGTAAGTCCTGCTATAACGTCTACGTCTACATTTGTTTGAAGTTTCTTTCAGTCTCGAAGTACAGTATAATGCACACAATGACAGACGTAAAATAGAACGAAACATGAAGAAATTTTATCGTTTTTTTTCATGTGTCTCTCTATGAATATATGACGTACTTCAACGTAATATTTTTGCATTCTAAATATAGAAAAACATATGAAAGAAATAAGTCAGTAATATATATAAAATAATTGATTTAAAAAATATTTCTGAAAAAACCAAATGTTTGTATTTAATGAAAACTATATACATTAATTTAAGCTAGCTGATGGGTGTAATCCTTCTTTTAACTCACGCACACCTACACCCACGCCCACACTCTAATTCCTATTGTTCATTCTCTGTCCTTCTTCATTCTTTATGTCCCTTTCATGATGATGTGTATATAGTTACATAATACGTTGTATAAAACAAAAAATACCAAATAATTCGTTAGAAACCAAGTTTTACCCTTTTTAAAGCATTTTGCTCAAACTCTTTGACAAAGCAAGGTCGTTATTAATTGTTATAAACGAATTTCTTTTTGACTTCATCGTTCACTCAGAAATTTATAAGTCCTTATTCTAGAATAGTTTCGTTCGGCATTATAACTGCAAACATACATATTAAATATACAGAGAAAATTCGAAATAGAACTTTGTAATTGTAATTATTCTATACAACATTAGCAATCGATAAAACATGTTTCCTTTACACAGAGACGATAATATAAATCAGTTCTGTATGACAACAAAAAGATACATGCCATTGACCACGTGTTTCTTTCCTTCAAAAGCAAAACTATTCTTCTTCATATGTTTATCAACGCGATGAGAAACAATAATGTCACATATTAATGTTTCAAAGGCAGATGCTAAACGAAACATTTATCTTTTAAAAATTATTTCTCCTCAGATGTCATATAAATTCTCTGACAAAAATTAGTTCCATTATGTTAAATAGTATATGTCATCATTATTCAGCATTAGTAAATGTTAATAAGATATATTCTTTTGTTGTAATCAATAATACATTTAATCTTAAGATATCAAGGTTAAAAAAAATAAAGAATGTACGCTTTTATGTCCGACAACAATAGTTAAATACGTAATATTTCTTTAGGTTGTTCTCCTTTACTTTCAAGTTTTAACATGCAGCTGTTCAAATCCATCCGAAGTTCTTGAATAAAATCAATAGCAATCATATAATGTAGGCGAGTCAGTCCTTTTTCATCACACATAGAATCTTGCTCAATATAATTTTTTATTTTAATAAGTTGCTTGATATGAGTGTCCATGTCTTAAATATGAAAGATAGATGAAGAAGAACTCAGTTTCTGGCAATGACTTCATATCTTACCTCGTTATTCCTTGTGTAAGAAAAAAAATTGAACAAATATCGAATCGAAACTGTGCAATAGTAGAATAGCATGCTCCTGACTGTATATTATTAGGCATTTATATACATCGAGTTATGTGGTTTTGTTTCCTATGAATAGTTAACTTTTCTACCTTTAAATCTACGTTACGTCTACGTCTACGTCTGCCTTTCGTCAATATTTAGTGTCATGTTTTCAATTGGAAGTGTGCAATGAGAGACGTAGGAGAATAACGTATAAAGAATACTTTTTCTCTTTCTTTCTTTGTCAATAGCATATATGTTGGATGCATTTATTAATTTTTTTCTTGACAACTGAAGAAAATGAAACATATTAGTCATTATCAGATGTTTGCTTTCTTCTTTCTTTTTTCATTTCAAAATAGGAAAAAATGTACGCATATACACATTAGAGTACTGCAACCCGACCCGACCCGACCCGAACCCGCACCCGACCCGCACCCGCGGACGGGTGCGGGTTCAACCCTATCGGGTCGGGTCGGGTGCGGGTTCAATCCTGTCGGGTCGGGTCGGGCACGGGTTCGATTAGCTGCGGGTCGGGTCGGTTGCGGGTTTGATGTTGAAAATTTCGGATTTTTTTCGGGTTACATTTTTTTCGCGATAGATGCCTCTGCCCTCTATTATTGTATACGTTAAATACAAAGAACAATGAAATATAATTCTGTTGGTTTATGACTACAAACAATAGATACACATATATACACGTATATGGATGTGAGCTTTCTTTGTATTTATAAACAACTAATACTTTGTTATAGTCATACTTTCGTTATTATTTTTATCTTTTTCAAATGGATCCAAAAGAAAAGATTCGGAAATTGCTTCAAAGTGGTGAATATACGTTATGTGATAAACCACAATCAAATGCTATTTGGTGGAACAATTTTTTGTTATTTTTTGTGATTAACATTGAAATAAAGTTGTTTATCTTTTGGAAATAAGCGAATTTAGTTTCTCGGGTCGGGTCGGGTTCGGGTTCGACTATCGGCGGGTCGGGTCGGGCTCGGGTTGAATCTTGTCGGGTCGGGTCGGGCTCGGGTTGAACCTTATCGGGTCGGGTCGGGCTCGGGTAGAACCTTGTCGGGTCGGGTCGGGCTCGGGTCCCACTAGAGGCCTTTGGGTCGGGTGCGGGTGCTAAAAGTCAAACCCGCGCAGTACTCTAATACACATTCATTCACGTATCCGATCTTCAAGAGAGTAAAACCGTGTATATATATATATATATGTGCATAATTATATTTTTCATGATTTGTTGAAAATCACTCATATCAATAAGTTAATATAGGATATAATTAAAAAAAACAGACTTCGTTCACTCATTATCTTATGGTTTATTGAAACAAGCAGAATGTAAGTGCGGATCATCTCTAAATACACGCCCACATCCCACCCTAAGAAATAAATAAATCTTTAAAGTTGAGCAAATTTTTCCTTGGAACTTTCCTTATAGAAACAAAAATATGTGTTAATAGTCGGTTGTGAATGTCGGCCTTGTCTTCAGACATATCTACGTCAAATGTTTCTATTGCTATTCAATCATTTATTTTTTTCGCTTCAAGTTTAAATAATTGAAATATTATCTATTGATTTTGTTCATTTGATAGTCCAATCTTATTGATATTTTATTAGACAGAATATGAAAGATTCGTTTTATTTCTTTAGTTTTTTAAAATTTAATTAATTAAGGAAATATCATTTACTTGTGGAATGGTGTGGATATAGTGTGGTTGTAAGTCTTCTGTCGAAATACACCCACATCCACACCCTAAAAAGAAATTTAAATAAAAAATATCCTTGTATTCTATTTGATAGAAAGAAATTTTAAAAAGTTTCAAATGACAATTATAAAGATTCAATATGTGTATCTTATGAAAAATGTTCTCACTTGTGTCAGGTTCAAACACAATAGATACATCAGATCGTACATCTCTATGTATAGGATGAATTGGAATTGTTCTTTTATCTTTGTCTTTTTTCAAAATTACATATGTCATAGATAAAATTGAGATTCACACAAATTTACAATTAGCCTAGGCGAAATTGAAATGAGACAGCAGATGAATTCACATAATCAAAACAATGAGAACTTTATGTTTTATTTGATGATAGTGCCTTATTTAAGTAATCAATTTTCTAGGCAAAAAGATTTAAGTATTGTAGAGATATTAATAATATTCATCGACAATATTCGTATTCTCTATACTTACTTTAGACTCTTGGAGAAATAAGAACTAAAAACATGTCGGTTTTTGCTTACATGAGGTGCCGTCATCAACAACTCTGCCAAGAGAACGAAAAAAATCGAAAAAGCACTGCATCAACATGCATGACTGTTTAAGACAAGATTGAAAAGAAAAGTGACACCTCTGACCTATGAAAATTTGTAAGTCAATGCTCGTTAAAGAAACAAAACTACAATGATTAATCACTTCTGTTTATCTATATTTATGGGTTCATGTGACAAAAAGCGAGAAATATTTGTGAAGATGTCTTTCACATTTCCAACATGTACTGTCTTCTTATACACATCTAAAAGATCTTGTTTCATCGAAAAACATCTCTCCAAAAACTTCTATAAGAACCACCACCTCCTTTTTCAAGGTTTTAGATGCCGATGAAGAAACAGCAGTAATACATCTACACTCACCACATCCACATCCACATCCTCATATAAATCTAGTTTAAATACAATATATTAAGAGAAAAATGCTGTTTAAGTTCTGTAAATTGATATTTTATTTTATTGGCATATTATGAACACTATGATTCGGGTTTATTCATTAATCTTACATGCAACAAAAATATCGAAAAAAAAACGGTTTCATAAAATTACGATAGTTGAATTGTTGCTGCAATCATAAGATGATCTGATGGATGTGTTTCATCTGGATAAGATTCACCAGAAGGATGATCTGGTAGTTCCAACACATTCTCTATAGTAAGATTACCATTAAAAAATATGTAATCTAATGTATCACAATAGTCTGGGCAGTTTGGTGTATGAGCAAAGTTTGTGTAAGTTGGTTCGACTCCATTTTTCTCTCGATAAGCACTTTTTAATACTTGTTCAGCATTACGTTGATAGGAAATTTCATATTTACTCGATTCCGGTAAACGACAATTAAGAAAATTTTTTTCTGTTAAGGCTTTGTAACAAATATCTGTTGAATTGAAATTGAAGTCACCAACAAGAATAAAATTTTGTCCACCTGCTAAATGAAACATTCGATCTTTCACAATTGAAGAATGAATCAGCATAACATCAGGATCTTTGTAAAGACAAGGCATGTGGTATGTCCCTATATGAATTGATTTATTGTTAATAGTAACTTTTATACAAATGAGAGCATTGATTCTATCCATAGCAGTTTCCCATGGATCTAATGTATCAAGAAGTATTTCTTGTGTATCAGATTCGTTTAAATTACATTCTGATGTTAAAGAATTTGCTTGTTTTTCACGAGGTTTACTGATCGAGTGTATAAAATCTCCGATTCTTATAATATAAAGTGAATTAAGTTCCATAGAAGCTG